CTAAAAATTATTACTTCTAAAGCCCGTATTAGACTAGATCGAGATTTGACCTTAAAAAATTAAATAAACATTTAACATAAATAAGAATACTGGAGGTTTATAATGTTGGGATAAAACTTGCACTTATTCGCACTCTTTAAATAAAACTTGCACTTATTCCTGCTCTTTGTAATCTGAAAACAAAACGTTATTGTATATATTTTCGAGTTAAATTAATATCGTAAATTTTTTAAACCTAAACATAAATAATTATTTACATACCTTATTATTTTGGCAGACAATTAGATTGTCGATATCAAAGAGATCATCTGTAACATCATCTTTGGAATTAAGCGGTTCTTATATACAATTCAAATTTTAAAAATTTTGTATTATTTCTGTAACATGAAAGTCGGTCAATTTACTTACATTTATATCAATTTATTTAGTTTTTCCAATAGTTTCATTCCCATTTCCATTCTTTCTTTGTGTCTCCTATCTTTTGCTTCTTCAGACAGTTTCTGGTTTAATATTATTGTTTCCATTGCATCGCTTGGCTTTACGTTTACCTGGAAGTAAAAATATTTTTTATATGTAACTGCTTAATCAAAATTAAAAATACATAGCATATATTCATTTATAATAAAAAAAATTATGAAAAAATTACAGATTATTCTACACATTTAAAAGTAATGCAATACGTTGTAGAATAACGTTTAATTTTTTTATAATTTCTTTATTGTAAATAAAAATATATGTAATACAGCTTTAACAATGAATAATATAGTCTCTTACGAGAAACTTCACCACTGATTTGAGAAACAGAGCTACTGCAGCTACTACTTGAAGATATTGATTTTTCTTCTAGCATTGATGTTGTAGATCCAGTAGATGAAATTGTTGTCAACGGTGACATGTAAGGCTTATGACTAAGAAGGCTTTCAAAGATCTAAACAATTAATATTGCATTAATAATAGTATTAATCTTGTGTTTACGATGCTAGAAATTGAGATCCAGAAATATTCTCCACTTGCATTGGTTAATTGGACAAAATTTTCGAATATAATTTGTTATTTCTTTTGCCATCCGAGATTTTGAAGTAATTTCTAGCATCGTGGACACAAGGCTTAAATCCGGATCTACATACAATAAGAATAGTAAGTTTTAAGCCGTAAGAAATTGACCAATCATAGTCGATTATTCTCTTCACATTTCACTATGATTGATCAACTATGATTGATCATCTTTTTACAAACTTAAGACGTACTTGCAGATCCAGGCCTTTATTTTGTACATGCTACCGATGATTG